GCGAATTTTTTAAAAAAGTAGATTATTTTATAATAATAAAATAGTCCTTCGGACTATAACGGTTTCCGTTCCCTAGTTATAAATCATTATATATTTACAGTAAGTAGGTATTTTTTATCCGAATTATAATAACAAATTATAAATTATTTATACTATTTAAACATCATAATAAGAATAAAGAACTTAGGTTATAAAAAATATAGTAATTGGTTATTTCTGTCTGTCTCCTGCTGTATTACATTATAGTACAAGTATATTTCAAAAGAAATTTTTACAGCGACTCATTAAAGGAATAAATTACTTGTAAAAAATTTTTTTGAATGAAAACATTTTAATTTATTATTAACAATTATAATTCAAATTTTTTATAATGATTATACAGCAAATATGTTTATTTATGATTTCATGATTCATTTCATATAGAACTTATTATTATAACTCTTTTATAAAAATTAAGAATTTATTAAAACAAAAATTTTTTGCTGTTTTTTTTTCCATTATACTAGTTATTTATTTGTTAATAATTAATAAGCAATTAGAATGGAATGAAATGTTATTAAATTATAAGAAACTATTAAATAACGAGAATGGATATATACATGCCTATTTAATTCAGTTCACCTATTATTACATAAGCCTTATAATGTAATTATGAAGATAATAAATATCTTGGCTATTGGAAAAAATTAAAATCTTTTATTCAATAAGATTAAAACCTGCAGATCATTTTATAGCTATATTTTATAAACTCTGATTATGATTATTATTTTATAAAAATAATAAAAGAGAGAGACAAAAAAAATACAATGTAAGTGTATATATGAAGAAAAAGAGAAGGCAAACAAAAAGAAAATATATTTATCGCTTGTAACAGTTGAAAAGCGGAGCTGACCAGAACATTGAGTCAAAATTGCTTCAAGAGTGAAAATTGTATAACATGTGAATTAACCAGGTTTAGTGACAGACTTGCTATCCAAAAATGTATAGTGGTAATCAAATTTTTGTCAATATATTTAACTCTATAGAAATTTTTATTTAATTAAATAAAAATTTAAATATTGATATTAAACACTATAAATCACTTATAACTAGTTTACAGATTATATTTTTATTTTCTTAAAAATTATTTTTAATTAAAACTTTTTTATTAGCTAAATTTTATGCATTGATTTCAAGTTTAAATTTTTATAAATTTTTATATATTTTTTTTCGTATTTAATAATATAAAACTAATATATATTTTTTTGAAATGACATTAAAAGAAAAAAATTTAATATATTAATATTATTTAGGTATTAATGTATCTTCAGAAATATTTGTAATTGTGTTTAAATTAACATGTGCATAAATAAAATACACAACAAACAATATCATTACGATGTATGACATAATTTAGGTCGGTCTTTAAGCTTTTTACTGATTTATTAAGGCCAATGAATTTTACTAGAAACTACAATCAATGAATTGTGTATTAATAAATTTTTCTTGAAAAAAAAAACCGTGACGAATGGCCAGATAATCCAATTTTTACTTGACTATTTCTATATATACTGTTAAACATCTTAATAAAAATGGAATTTTGTAAAATAATTTAATTGATAATTATCAAGCGGTATCGCCGACAAAATATACATGTTTATTTACGTCTCAATGTGTTCCTCGTGTCGTCTTTTCCAAAAAACTTCATTACTCCATCTCTGTTCCTTATTATAAAAAAACCTTTTCTCACTTATACACTTACGAAATGTATCCTCGATGTATTTTTGAAAGATCTCTAACGGTTGAACAGTAACTTCGTTGTTTCTTGGTTTCTTGCTGTTGAAATATTGAAAAAATATGGCTTCCGCACCAAGCTTCGCACTATAAAGAGCGGTGAGCATCCCTTGAGATGAGAGTGGATCAAAAGAAACAGCACTATCACCAATTGCTATCCATCTATTTTCACAAGACGCTGATTTGGATTAAAGTTAAATGTAAATGTTCAGGTATAAATATGAAAAAGACAATGATCAAGCACATACCAAACTGAGAAAGGCATTCTGAATTTGTAGGCATACACATGACTCTTTTTCCCACAGGAAGATACGAATGATCATTTATACGCTTGGTAGTATGTATAGCAGTTTCCTTCATAAAATCGTAGAACTCTTCTACTTGTCTGATCTTTCTTTTTTTGCTAATTTGTTTTATTAAATCATCGTCGGTATGGAAAATAACGATTCGTTGCTTGCTGGGCAAAAGACTAGTGTACCACCATCCAAAAGCACAGGATTCCACGAGGGTATAATGGTCCGAGTCGGGCGGTTGAGAAGTAACAGTTTCAAATAAACATGCAAAGGCCAGTAATGTATCGAGAGAACGTTTTAAGTCCGGTAAACATTTTCGGACGAAGCATCGACGGCCACTTGCATCGATGAGAATGTTTCCGTGGATCTGTAATTCTAATAATATAAAAACATCGGATTTTAGCTTATTGGCGCCATCGCAGATGTGTCTAAACTTACCATTACTCAAAACAGAAACTTTCCAATATTTCTCATCATCAGCATTTTTTACAAGAAGTGCCTTAGTTACGGAACCACGTATAATTGTAATGAATCGACCATGCTGTGTCCCGGCAGTTTTAACTAGCGTTTCCTCAAACAGGGACCTGTTCAAATGAAATCCATTCCCATAGGCATTGAATATTGTGCTCGTATCATGTAATTCATTCCATAACAAATGTTATGTTCACCTGTAAGCCGATAGTAATATAAGTTGGTTAAACGTGTAAATTACTACGTATACGAAAATCATTCGAGTACCAGTACCTTTCATTGTATCGTTGTTTACTGCTTCGAATACGCCTAATGATTTAAGTATATGCTTTGCTTCTCCAGGCAAAGATTCGCCAACTTTGAACATTTCTGCATTTGTCGTTCTCTCGTCGATAACTAAAATCTTCCGCCATGTTGCGGCTGCTGAGTTAAACAATTGTGCCAATCTTATTGCTGTACTTGAACCTGCAATACCACCGCCTATAATTATAACGTCAAATATTGTTGGGTGTGCATTGTGTAGTGGAGATTCTGCGAAGCGAGATTCCATTGAGCGTAAGTTATATGATAATTGTGTAAGCAATCTTATTTATTGAAGGTTTTACAAATATCAAAATGGAATTCGCATATGATTTTGCAAGTAACGTAAAGTATATACTGTATACAGTACAGTATTACGTTAATGGTTGTACAAAGGTTTAATATTTTGAATATTTGAATATTTGAAAATCGAGACGCTCACAATGAAAGTACCATTTAAAACATTATTGAAGAGACAACAAAAATTGAATGGTTTATTTCTTAATTTATGGATTCAGATAACTTTAATTATGGATGTTACAAGCTTCAAATATAAAATTGATTAGACTGTCAAGGAAACATCTGGCAATGAGGCGACTACAGAGGGTGGACATATTATTGCGGACACTTAAAAAAAATTTTTTAAAAAAAATTTTACATAATAAAATTAGTCAA